TTTAGGGTTTGGGTTTAGGGCTTATAGGTGCAGGGGAGACAACAAAGGCTTCATTTCTAGAACCTACCCTAAGCCCTAAACTTAACCCAAAGCCTAAACCCTAAACTTAATTTCCAGAACTTACTCTAAACCCTAAACCCTAAACCCTTAACCTAAACCCTAAACCCTAAACCTTCAAAGCCCTCAACAACATGCCCGAAGCTGCAAGTCTGCAGGCTTGTAGGGCTCGGCAGAGAGCTTTTGAAAGGAAGGCTAGGGAATTCGTGGTTTCAAGCCGGCGCCGGCATCCCGAGCCTTGAACCTCACTTTCACCAAAAAAACCTACACTTTTCGGGCTCCTTAATTCTGACTTTCCTTATGCAAAATTTTTAACAAGTCCCTTATAGAAGCCCTAAGTCGGACACCCAAACCCTTAAGCGAAGAGTGCTGGGTACATGTACATATATATATATACACATGTGTATATATATATATGTGTATATATATATAGCTTCTGACATATTTCTGTAGAACCCCCACTATATCGTGAGGACAGGCCTGATGCCACAGATCAGCGATGGGAACATAGAAAAACACAAGGCACGAACAACACCGGCCACCACGGCATCCCTTCCTGTAAGCGAAACCCTGAAAACGACGTAGACGAAGACAGCTGCTACCAGGCGCCTCTTTCGTATCGGAGCTCCTAAACCCCAAAGGGTCCTACGTACCAACATGGTAGAAAGTAGGATTTCTATAGCAGGAACTTCTAGTATAGGAAAGTCTCTCCCATATGTAGGTACTTACAGGTGCTTAGGACCCTGTGTTTCCAAAAGCCTGAAACCTCGAACTTGCCACCGCGAGCACGACTCTTAACCTGTTAAACCCCGAAATTCAGAACCTACTTGTGTGTAGGGTCCCTAAAAATCCAAGATGAGGAGTCATAAAATCCTACATAGAGCAGGTTATGGTTGTTCAAGGTGCACGACCTGAGGCGAAGAAGCCCTGGCCATAATATCCGGGCCGGAGTAGTGACATGTGTTTTACGTTCAATTTTGTACAATAAGGGACCACGGTTTCTAATTATTGAGACCTATATGCTATGCCCTGAACCCAAGCGGCTTAACCAAACATCCTTTTGAACAGGGTTTTGCAGTTCAACAAGGAAGGTTAGGAAAGGACTCGCTCTGCAAGCAAAGGCGTTGAGTACCCGACTTCAGGCAAATGTAGATCCGTGGAAATCGATTTCGGGGTTCATGCTAGGCTCTGCAGGTGCTGGTTTACAAGCTTCGTACCGGCATACCCCGAAGGGCCAAAACTAGCTCTGGGATGGGGGGGCGGGGGGAAGTACTTGCACAAAGCTGAGGAAGAATTCTGAATCTAGAAATTAGGAACCCCAAATTCCAATACTGACTCTGCGCAGGCTTAACCCAGCCACCCGCCTCCCCCCCCCCTTCCGAAATTCAATTTCTTGCAGTCTCCACCCCTGCTTGAAAACGTTCCTTGCTCTACATTGCAGGATCCTTAGTAAGAGTACTAGGGATCCCTAAGGGGGAACCTTAGTGGGTACTAATTCATTAATCAATTACGGAGAACTATTTGATTACTTTGCTATTATGCACGCCCCTTGGGCCCACCTCCCTGAGGTATTCTACAAGAAACCCAAGCTGAGATGCAGGAATCCTAAACCCTAAACCCCTAAACCCTAAACCCTAAACCCCTAAACCCTAAACCCAAGTTGAGATGCAGGAGAAGGCCTGCAATCTTCTGGGTTTGGAAGTTAGCGTTTAAGACACTGGACAAAAACGGTTTAGGGTTTTGGTTTAGGGTTTATGGTTTGGGGTTTAGGGTTTAGGGTTTCATAATTGTAAGAACCCTGGGCGATTCTCCTACTAACCAATCAGGCCCGTTGTTGTGCTACATCTGTCGGTGCGCCACGGCAGACACTAAAAAGAGCCCTCAACCCTACAACCCAAACCCCTCAGCCCCCTGAAAACCAAAAAGAAACACAAACAACCACAACAACACGCAAAGCTATATCAACCCCTTAAATAAACCCTTAAACCGCCCCTCAAACCCTATACAACCCTTTCACCCTAAGTCCTATTCCAGGATCCTCTACAACTACCCATAGGCCCCATTGTAGTTCCTTTCTAGGATTACCTACTAGGATCCTAAACATAAGCCACAAAAAAGGAACTACGAGTACAATGGGGCCTATGTACCGCTATAGGAGCCTTATAGAAGGTCCATATAGTAGTTCCTCTTTAGGGCTCATATTTAGAACCCTGTAAGGTACTCCCGAAAAGGAACCCCACATGCCAAAGCCCAAGCCCTGAACTTAAACGCCTATACCCAAAACCGATCCTAAATATAAGCCACAGAAAGGAACTAAACCCTAAACCCAAAACCCTAAACCCTAAACCCTAAACCCGGCCTATGGGTAAACCCCGAAAGCAGCAAATACGTAAAACCCGCCTGTAGCTCGATGAAACTGCGGCGGTAGAGCATCCGTATCCCCAGCGGCTCCATGAGCCTCTCACCATGAGGTGAAGGGTTTATAGGGTTTATAGGGTTT